CTTAAAGTGTATTCACCACTATCAAGTAGGCTTCAACCCAAAGATGCAGGGTTGGTTAAACATAGACAAATCAAAAAATGTGGTTCCTCACATAAACAGAACTGAAGACAAAAAATACATAATTATCTCAATAGATGCAGAAAAGGCCCTTTGATAAGTTCAACATTCTTTCATGTTAAAAACTCTCAATAAAAAGTATTGAAGAATCATGCCTTAAAATAATAAGAGCAATATATGACAAATCCATAGTCAATATTGTACCGAATGGATAAAACTTGGAAGCATTCACCTTGAAAACTATCACAAGACAAGGTTGTTCTCTCTCACCACTCTGATTCAACAAAAGATTAAAAGTTCTGGCCAGGACAATAAGGCAAGAGAAAGAAATAAAGGTATTCAAATAGGAAAAGAGGAAGTCAAACTACCTTTGTCTGCAGATGATATGATCCTATATCTAGAAAACACATTGTCTCAGCCCAAAAGCTTATTAAGCTGATAAGCAAATTCAGCAAAGTCTCAGTATACAAAATCAATGTGCAACAATCACTAGCATTCCTATACACCAACAGGCAAGCCTAGAGCCAATATGCACATGCACTTCCATTCACAATTGCCACAAAAAGAATAATATAACTAGGATTAGATTACAGCTAACCAGGAAGCTGAAAGATCTCCACAAGGAGAACTGCAAAACACTTCTCAAAGAAATCAGAGATGATAAAAACAAATGGAAAGACATTTCATGCTCATGGATAGGAAGAACCAATATCATTAAAATGGCCATACTGCTCAAAGCAATTTATAGATTCAATGCTATTCCTATCCTTAGATTCTTCACAGAATGAGGAAAAACTATTTTAAAATTCATATGGAACTAAAAAAGGGCCTGAATAGCCAAGGCAATCCCAAGAAAAAAGAGTAAAGCTGGAGCCACCATGCTACCCTACTTCAAAGTATACTACAGGGATATGCTCACCAAAAAAGCATGGTACTGGTACAAGAACAGATACATAAACAAATGGAACAGAATAGAGAAACTGGAAATAAGACCACACACCTACAACAATCTGATCTTCCACAAACCTGAGAAAAGCAAGCAACAGGGAAAGGATTCTTTATTTAATAAGTAGTATTAGGAGAACTGGTTAGCCATATGCAGAAAATTGAAACTGAACTCCTTCCTTACATCATATACAAAAATCAACTCAAGATGGATTAAAGAGTTAAAAGTAAAACCCCAAACTATAAAAACCCTGGAAGAATACCTAGGAAATACTATACACGACATAGGCAAGGGCAAATATTTTATGATGAAGACATCAAAAATAATTGCAACAAAAGCACAAATGGACAAATAAGATCTGATTGAACTAATGAGCTTCTGCCCAGCCAAAGAAATTATTAACAGTGTAAACTGACAATCTGCAGAATGAGAGAATATTTTTACAATTTAAGTATCTGACAAAGGTCTAATATCCAGCATCTACAAGGAACTTAAACATAGTTGCAAGGAAAAAAACTCATTAAAAAACGGACAAAGGACATTAACAGACACTTCTCAAATGCAGACATAGATGTGGCCAATAAACCATATGGAAAAACTCTTGACGTTACTGATCATTAGAAAAATGCAAATCAAAACCAAAATGAAATACTATCTCACACAAGTCAGAATGGCTATTACTAAAAGGTCACAAAAAATGCCAGATGCTGGTGAGGTTGTGGAGAAAAAGGAACACTTATACGCTGTTGGTGGAGTGAAAATTAGTTCAACTATTGTGGAAGACAGTGTGGCGATTCCTTAAAGACCTAGAGGCAGAAATACCATTCGACCCAGCAATCCCATTATTGTGTATCTCCCCAAAAGAATGTAAATGGTTCTATTATAAAGACACATGCACACTTAACGTTCACTGCAGCATTATTCACAATAGCAAAGGCATGGGATCAACCTAAATGCTCATCAATGATAGATTGGATAAAGAAAATACGGTATGTATTTACCATGAATACTATATAACCATAAAAAGGAATGGGATCTTGGATGGCGCTGGAGGCCATTATCCTTAGCAAACTAACACAGGGCCAGAAAACCAAATACTGCATGTTCTCACTTATAAATGAGAGCTAAATGATGAGAATACATGGACGCATGGCAGGGAAAAACACTAGGGCCTCTCAGAGAGTAGTTGGTGAAAAGAGGGAGAGTAGGTAATGGATGCTGGGCTTAATACCTGGGTGATGGGATGACCTGTATAGCAAACCATCATGGCACACATTTACCTGTGTAACAAACCTGCACATCCTGCACCTGTGAACTTAAAAGGTAACATTTTTTAAAGAAAGAAGCATAAATAACATGCTAATTTTAAAAAATGAGTTAGCATTCCCATCCTCTTCCAGGTAAGCATCAAAAGCTTCATGGAAAGGGGAATATTTCATACACACCTTGAAGAAAGTTATGATTTCAATTGCAAGTGATTTACAGGTGAGTTGCAGTAGTGGGGGATTGAGAGAGCAATTTGAACAAAAACATGCACCTGACAGTATCACATTCTCTAGAATTAAAAAAAAAATGAAAGCAGTAAGAAAAGGAAATCAGTAATATTTCACTAATTATTGGAATGTGTTATGGGTAAAAATAACTTTAAATGCATATTACCAAAGATCAAATGCTAAATGATGCTAAAATGATATGATCTCATAGTGTCCATCAGGTAGTTTGGGAAGGTATGAAAATAAGCAAGAGCATGGGTGTTTTGTGACTCAAAAGTATAGAAGCCTCCTGGTAACTCACTTAGGCTGCAACACAGTTTCCATTAAGAGAATCATGGAGGAACAGTCTCCAGAATTAAACCAAAAAGTTTTTTTTTTTTGCAAAAGATCTCAAATAATTCAGAGTGAATAATCACTAGTTAAGTAATATATATGCATAGTATACAATCTGTACAGACATGTAAACAATGTCTATTTAAATCCAGATACATGTGCCACACATGTATATAATCTGCTAGCAATGACAGTCTATTAAAAGTTAATTAACTAGGATATGAATTAATTAGACTTATATGAGCAAATTATCTGGCAGTACTGTTTAGAAAATAAGAGACTGTAAAGGGGTAAGGGAGATAGTAACTAGAGTCATGCAAAACAGACAGGTGAGTTGTTTTAGGTTGCAGACCTGGGTGATATCAGTAGGAATAGAGACGAAATTTTAGTGTTGAAAGAGGAAGGGTGGGTGACCTGAAGATAGATCACTCATAATACAAGAGGAGGGAAGCTAAAATTTAAGAACTTTTGAGTCACAAAACATCTGTATTCTTGCTTATTTTCATACCTTTCCCAGCCACCCACTGGACACTATGAGATCATATCATTTTAGCATTATTTGATCTTTGATAATATGCTTTAAAGTCATTTTTTATCCATAACACTGTCCAATAATTATTGAAATATCACTGATTTCCTTTTCTTACATCTTTCATTTTCTTTGCAATTCTAGAAAAGTGATACCATTTACTTGTTCTGCCATTTTTCTTCTGTACATCCATTCGAACTTAATTTTTATTTTTTTATTTTTTTTATTTTTTTTTTTATTTTTT